CTTTTTTCCCCAAGGAGCTTGAGGTACATGGTTATCTCCTTCTCAGTTAATCTCCCCAAAAACCATTTGAGGTAGATTAGCCTGAGAGACAGTGACTGGTTCAAGGTCACCCTGTGAGCTTCATGGCTGAGTGGGGATTTGAACCCTGGTCTTCCAGTACTCTAACCACTGCACCACATTAACTCACTATGAATAGTGAACATTGTTGCTCTAAATTTCAGGTTCCGAAAAGGATGATTCATCTCTCAGTGGGGTGAAGATTTACATCAAAGATTGACTCACCATTTGGTTGGGCACTGGAACTAAATGAATCTTCTCAGAATCCCGTTTTGATGCAAAATACCTTTCTTTTTCTATTAGGGTTTGGGGTTTTAAAAAAGAAACTCAGAGGAAAAATTACTTTGAGAGCCTTCAGCTCACTTCTCATGAACGCTCAAAATAATGACTTGTTCAGCAAACATAGAAGAGACCCCCCTCCTCATTATATTTGTATGTACACTCCAAGTTGAAACCCAGGTTAAGGAACTTCTTTGTCACTCTGCCATTGTTTATAGGATCTTGATGGCAGTATTTACGTTGCATGGTTTCAATTCTTGGATTTAAACATTGCCTTTGGAAAGACAGGCTTTGGTGATGATAACCGCCTTTGGGTTCTGTTGCTGAGTCATCCCACTGGTTTGAATTTTCCTAACCATCTGTATCTTTGGTGACATTGCCAGCAGATGTTGTTATCAAGCTGTTCCATTGCTACAAGAACCCAGTCCAATTCAAAATTTTGATTCCAGGTGGCATTTTGTACTGAGTGAGATAAATGTAAAGTAATTTCTGTTTTCGTTTGAAGCTATTTCAAGAAGCATCAGGGTGGTTTGTTTGTTTGTTTTTTTAAAAAAGATGGTCTCTATGTTATCCTTTTGTTGTGGGTAATCTAGATGACAAACTCCCAGCGAATTCTACAGCTGCTTATAAATTGCTTCCCAAAATTCTCTACTCTGTTTGTGTGTGGAGGGAGGGCAGCTATTTTACACTATTTCTTCAGGGGAAAGAGAAGTTCCCAACACTTTATTGTGAGTGCAATTTCAGAAACATGAATCTCCAAGTTGAAACCCAGGTTAAGGAACTTCTTTGTCACTCTGCCATTGTTTATAGGATCTGAGTTTAGTATCTGACTGGCAGCAGCTTTTCTCCTAGCCCTGCCTGAAGATACTGGGGCTTGAACCTGGGACCTTCTGCTTGCAATGCACATCTACAGCACCATCCCTTTGCAATAAGGGGTGCTGCTGGTGCTGCTTCAAGGGCCACCAGCAACTGTCTTTGCAACTTTGCAACTGCTGTCATTTTGGACCCCAGCTATGCTTGGGGCAGACCTATTGGATGGTGCCTCTATCATTATTTCAGCAGGTGAAAGAAATCCCTCCCCTGCTTCCTAGACCATTCTGAAATACAGTGGTACCTCGGGTTAAGTACTTAATTTGTTCCGGAGGTCCATACTTAACCTGAAACTGTTCTTAACCTGAAGCACCACTTTAGCTAATGGGGCCTCCCGCTGCTGCTGTGCCACTGGAGCACAATTTCTGTTCTAATCCTGAAGCAAAGTTCTTAACCTGAAGCACTATTTCTGGGTTAGCGGAGTCTGTAACCCGAAGTGTATGTAACCCGAGATACCACTGTACTTAAATGTTCTCCCTCTTCCAGTAATCCTTTCCCCTTTGGTATTTTTCATCTGCCTTCCATCAAGCTCAGTGTTCCTGCTCTCCAGAAAGATATGCAACTGAAGCAAAGTAGTAAAATTAGCTGTCTATTTCCTTGATTTCTTTCTTCAGAAGTTATCAAGTAAAACTGGACAGGCTCTTGTCAGTCATGCTACTTAAGATACGGGTTTTCATGTTGCTATGGCAAGAGATAGACTTTGAGGTGGGATGGGGAACCTCAGACCCAGGTGACAAAATGTCTGGCCCTCAAGACTCTCCCCAGCTCACACCCCTTCTTCCCAGGCCACAAGCCTGCCTCAAGTGTTTCCTTGAACTCTGATAATGCTTCTTGGTTGCCTCGATAGAGGATAGAGGGGGACGTTTGAGTAAATTAACATTTGTTGTTCCGTACACTTTTGTTTCTAGCCCTCCCCACGAATGGCACAGAGCCCCTGGAAGATTGCCTAGAAAGGAATGTGGTCCTCAGTCTGAAAATGGCTACCCATTCCTGGCATAGTTGTTTGATAGGTTTCTTCCAACTGTTGTTTACACAGTTCTATGATTACTTGCTCAGAGGTCTTTCAGCAGTAATCAAATTAAAGTTAGCACCAGCTGAGGTGTGGAGAGGTCATAAAGGCTTTTCACACTACCTGAAGGTACCATAAAGGTTCTTCACCACCCCCATCATTCAGCCCAGACACTGAGGTCCAGTGCTGAGGGCCTTCTGGTGGTTCCCTCACTGTGAGAAGTGAAGTTACAGTGAACAAGGCAGAGGGCCTTTTCGGCCCTCCCATCTGGGAAACAAACAACTATCTGACTTTTAGAAGACACCTGGAGGGAAGCTTTTTTTGTTTGACATTTTATTGTGTTTTTAATATTCTGTTAGGAGCTGCCTAGAGTGGCTGGGGAAAGCCAGCCAAATGGGTGGGGTATAAATAAATTATTATTATTATTATTATTATTATTATTATTATTATTCACCAGTCTTCCTCAACAAGGTGCTTTCCAGATGTTTTAGACTACAACTCCCATAATCCTCAACTACTGGCCATGTTGGCTGGAGCCACAACTTTGAGCTAGGGAGGATGGCAAGGATCAAACTTTGGGTCCTACAAACACCAGCATTCTCCAGACCTTAAAGAATGCTGGTGTTTGTAGGACCCAAAGTTTGATCCTTGCCATCCTTCCTAGCTCAAAGTTCCTTGGGTAAGATGGCTGGAGAAGACTTCAAAGGAGACGGTGGGCAGCTACTGCCAGTGAGAATGGACAGAAGAATGATCAAGCTTGGTATAGCCTTTGCTTCATGTTCATAAAGGAAATCAATGAATTCAAGTAGCATTTGCAGAGCTTTGCCCCTCCAAAAGTAAATAAGGATACTTGTTACCAGTTTCTAATTTATGTCTCTCTCTTCCTTTATTCCATGGGCCAAAAGTGTTTTCCACCTTTTTGGCACAGATACAAATGCTGGCTTTATTTTTCATGTGGTTCAGTGGTAGGAATGGTTTTGATCATTATAAGAAAAGCAATGGGGAGAAAAATCAAAATCAAACAGAACTTCAGAGCCTGCTCCACATTTGTCTTTGTCCTGGTTCCTTAAAGAACTGCTTGTTTATTTGCTGAGAGTACATGCTGTGTTCGCCATGTGTACAGAAGCAATAACAAATCAGTTGAAGCCAAACGCTTGCCTTGAAGGCACGAAGGCTACTCTTGTGAAGGCAAGGTTGGAGCCATACATTTATAACAGAAGCTACAACTGGGCCTGTTGTCGTCAGAGTTGCACACCAAGCAAAGAGGTAAGGTTTTATGGCTTCAGCTGGCCAATATCATTAATTATATCAGGGAGGCGAAAACCTTTTTCAGCCTGAGGGGCAAAGTCCCATCCACAAAACTTTCCAGCAGCCACATGCCAGTGGTGGGCATGTAAATTTTCCCTTTGTGCAATAGACTAATTTCCACAGACACTCATACACCCCTCTGTATCTTCCATCCACACACGGAGGCAATGGTGGCTGTGGCCTGGGGAGATTTCCAGGGGCCCAGAGTCCAAATTCAGGTCCTCAGAATTCTGCCCTGGCCACATCCATCACTGGCTCTGCATGCGCTGAGGTTCCTCACCCATCCCATATATGAATGATAAAACTTGTAGTGATGTCAAAGGATAGAAATAGGGTACTGCCCTAGCTTCTCACATGTCTATAGTCTACCACACTTCCATTCCACACTTTTCAAGGCATTTCCTTGTCACTTTCCTAACAGCAGTGTGTCAGTCTGGAAGCACCCACAGTAAATCACACCCAGCCATTGAATATTGCCAGTGGAACAAGTGACAATCCAGGTCATGGGACATCAGAGTGAAGAGGTCATACAGAAAGGGGAGAAATTCAGTTTGGTTCACATTTAAAGGAGACCATTCCTTATTCTAGTGAGGTAGGAGAGCAGATAATAACACCAAATATTTCACATCTGGCAACTAATGTGCCCCTTTGATTTCAGATAGTACATGAGTAGATGACTCTAAAAAGCCCTTTAGCAGCTTTGGTGGCTCAGTAACCAGAAGTAACGTATTTATCATTAACTCTGAAAGTGTATACTTGATTCTGACCAAACTAAGCATAGAAATGACTAATTAAATGACTAAGGACAGGAAAGAAAAGCCAATGAAAGGGACTTGACATTTACTGGAAAGCAGTTCAACTGGTTCTGCTAAATTAAGTAGCGTTGTTTTTTTCAGATCACATCTGGAACTCCAGAAGGGCCAAAAATACTTCATGATTTTACATCTCCTTAAAATAAATAAATAAAATTAAGGCACTGATCGTATCCTCGAAAACTACTGTACCCTTAATAAGCTCTAAGGTAACTCCATGCCAGTTGCCAGCTGTGCAATACATCCCTGTTGTATAGCACATGCCTTTTCTATAACACGTTAACATTCCTACTGGCAATAAACAGCCTTCTAGAGATGGAACCATGAGGTTTGGATGTAAAAAGTCATATGGATATCACTTCGTTTATTTAATATACAGCTTTTTTATACGAGTGCTTTTTAGTTTGCATTGCTCTTTGATCTCCACTTGGAAGAGAGAGAGAGAAACCTTTTTCATGGAGTTTGTTTTAAAGTGCAGTAATTGCTTACCACAAATAAGGACCAGCAAATGGGCCTGGAAAATAAAGGAAACCGGTAGGAGGGGAGATGGGCAATGCAAGACATTTAGAAAGGTTTACATGCACACGCGCGCACACGCACACACACAGAGGGATATGGGAACAGGCCTTGTAGGACTGAACAATGAGCCCTCTGTCCAGGAAAGCGATTTAGCTCAGTGGTAGAGCATTTGCTTTGCATGCAGAAAGTCTCAGTTTTGATCCCTGGCATCTCCAGGTAGGGCTAAGAGACAGTCATGCCTGAACCCGCCCCCGAGAGCTTCTGCCAGTCAGTGCAAACAATACTAATCTAAATTAACCAATGGGCTGGGTTGCAGTGAATATATGGCTGTGCTGAACCCAGTGGTGAATCTTGGGGTCTCAAATTTCAGTGGCACCCTGTGTGATGCCAAAATTTAGTGCGCTTCGCTGCCTCTCGCTTTCTATTCTACATCATAGTTATGTCACCCACTGCAGCATCCCTGAGGCTCCATGCCCAGTGCGACCAAACCAATCGCACTCCCTTAAATGGACTTTGGCTGAACAGGTGGGGACTGTTTCAACCCCACCTTTCGGCTTTTGCTTAACTGTCCAAACATTCTACTTCATAATATACCAATAACCAATAATAAAAGACACACACACAAGAAATATGAGACCTGTAATTTAGGAGTCTCTTATTCATCTGTTAAAGGGAAGGGGAGAAACTTCCCAAACATGTGCAAATAAAACTGCTTGGTAGAATGTAAAATTTCCATCTTTATCTAGTCCTCTTGGCTTTGCCTACACCCTGGGTGGGCAACTCTTTCAGGTCTGGGGCCACATTCCCTTGGGAGAAAGTGGTTGGGGAACAAATACTGGTTGTGGTGTGTGCAGGGCCAAAACTTCATCTTCAATTCTTCTTTTAACTTCATCCATCATCCATTCTCTCACGCACTCTCTCTCTCTCTCACACCCTAGTCAAATCCACACAAGTGTAAACATACAAGGACCTACTCTCTCACCCCTTCATTCACACACTTAGTCTTTTCCACCCCAACTCCCTCTTGACACCACTTACTTTGTGGTTGGTTCAGAAAACAGTGAAGAAGATGGAGGTCCACCTGTGCTCACCTGTGACCTATACTATTCTAGAATTTTTATTTCTCAGAAACATGCACACAAACAACGACAACAACCCTTGAATAGCAACGTTGAGATTTTATGGAGGGCCTACATAACCCTGAGCTGTGTCACATTAATCAACACAAAATAAATGCCAATGACTTGCAGAGACATTTGAGACATTTTCTACCTATTCTGTGTATCTTCCTCCCCCCGGATATTCTTGGCATACTGATTTTCAGGCTCAGTATCCTGGTAAAGGGAAATGGGAACCGAGAATGTTTTCAAAACGTTAAAAGTCCATTTTTTTCCTGTCACTAACATTAAACTATCACAGTGTAGAGTGGTTAATGACAGTGCTTCATGAGATAAGACATTAATCTCCACTTGTAATGCAAGAGCCATACAACCTGCTTCAACCTTAATCTCTCTTGAGTTATGGGCTCTTCTGTGATTCATAAAACAAATAAATCACACCTCCAAAACTATCAGCTATTTATTACTGTGTTTTTTTTAAGGCCTAGCATAATCTGAAAGGATTTTTTCCTTGCAAAACAGAAAGGGAGGGAGAAATAACCCAACCCTCTTAAAAAGTAGGCTTAATTTAAATGAGAGCCCAGCATTTCTAGTGCCCAGTCAAGTGACACAATCAACAGAATCCAAAAGGTTCACCTTAGAAGTTGTCTTGTCAATACCATAATAATTCAACTAGCTACTATCCATCACCAAAGGTTCTGCTATTGTTCAGTAGCAGATGGATTCAGAAGTTAAGCGGCACAAAGTCCATTGAAAACCTTTGGGCTGTGGGTGGCATCCAACTCTCCAAGTCTTTCCCTATCTCAGCTTCCCCTCACCATGGAGAGCCCTTTTGGAAGAAGAGTTTACAGCTCTGTGAAGAACCTCACTCTGACTGAAAACCTGGAGGAACCCATGGTAATCCAAAGGCAGCCTAAAGAACCTCATTTTAAGGATGTCTCTCCTGGCCCAAACCCCTCTGAACACATCCCAAACCCTATCTTGATCTCCAATTCTCCCTCCTCTTTCTGGGCCTTAGGAGTGATAGTGGCAGGAAGCCCAAAGTTACCAGATGAGTGCCCATTTTGCAGCCAAGTGGCTCTGACTCAGGAGGAAGAGGAAAGGAAGGAGACTCTTATCCATACTTACCTTTCCTCCACACTTACCAGGCACAATCCACATTTTATATTTCCAAGCACAATTCAAAGTGTTGGCGCTGGCCTTTAAAGCCCTAAATGGCCTCGGCCCAGTATGCCTGAAGGAGCGTCTCCACCTGCATCATTCAGCCTGGACACTGAGGTCCAGGAAACCAAGCAGAGGGCCTTCTCGGTGGTGGCGCCCACCCTTGGAACGTCCTCCCATCAGATGTCAAGGAAATAAACAACTATCCGACTTTTAGAAGACATCTGAAGACAGCCCTGTTTAGGGAAATTTTTAATGTTTGATGTTCTACTGTATTTTTAACGTTTTGTTGGAAGCCACCCAAAGTGGCTGGGGAAACCCAGCCATATGGGTGGGGAATAAATTATTATTATTATTACTATTAAAGCTCCATGTCCAAACACCCTTTTTGTTGTTGTTGTTGTTCCAGTGTTTTCCACAACAAACCCCCCTTTTTAGCGCTGATCCAGAGCAAACAGCAATCCACTGAAAACCCAAGTTGCTGTTTGCAAAAGTTAAGAGTGTATAAACCCTCTCTTGATCTCCTCTGGACATTTGTGGGATTACAACTCTCTCCTGAGCTCATTAATAGCCAATTTCTAAATTCCTTGGCTCAGCTTTAAACTTCCAGTCTCATTTTCTGCTCCACCTACATGCTAGTCAGGAGGAGACTCATTTTTCCTTTCCCCCTGTTGCTTCAGGATGGGAGCACAGAACGCTGTAGGCCCAAAGAGTCTAATGTGGCTGATTCCAGTCACGTCTAGATCGGAAAATGTTTGTGTGATGTCATGAAGTCAAGTATTACTAAATTATCTGAAGAAGCTGGGTGAAGTGAAACTCGAGGTCACAAGCTTGCATTCAAATTGTTTATTTAATTTTAAATTTATTTATTTATTTATTTATTTATTTATTTATTTGTAGATTGTTCCCCATAACATTTCTCAAAGTGACCTCACAAGAAAATATTGGTAATAAAAACAATGACACAATCTCCACTTAAAAGCCTTGTTTGAAAAGGAAGCTCTTCAGTAGGCACCAGAAAGACAACAGAGAATGTGAAAGTCTGATACCCTGCTTCAAGCATTTGGCAGCCATCTTGGAATCTGATGGTGAGCAAGTCTGGTATATACCAGAAAGGAGTTTTAAAGGGTAGGTGCCACCACACTAAAGGCCCAGTTCCTAAAGGCCCACACTAAAGGCCCAGAACAGACCACCTGAAGATATGGAATCTGCATAAAAGTGACACTTTTTAAAGCTAAGACATACTTGCGAAGCCTGGCGCGCATGGAAGTTGCAGTCCAATACACCTAGAGAGCACCATGTTGGAGAAGACTAATCTAGGCCGCTGAGCCAAAAATTGGAAGGAGGAAAAAATCACCAGCACCTGCTAAAATTCCCTCTCCTGCACAACTTCTAGTGTTGTGTTAAATTCATCAGCATAGCTGTAGAATACAAACTGGCTGAATAAAGTGTTCAAGGAACATTTTCTTTCTCTGCCTTGATTCTCTCTCCTCCCTGCCCCCACCTCGCCCCAATCATCCATCCTTGGTGCCCAAGATGGTTCCATTTATCCTGCAAATATTAATTCAAAATGCAAACAGAATGAGGCAGCTACAGGAGGATATAAATGGAAAATTAATTGAGAAGTGATGTGTAGACATGTATTATATGGTTTTGATAACATGCATATTCAAGGAGAGGTTCAACAGCTAATCACTGACTTGATGCCACCCAGAGATAGATGAGAGAGAGAGAGAGAAGGAAGGAAGGAAGGAAGGAAGGAGGGAGGGAAGGAAAGAAAGAAAGAAAGAAAGAAAGAAAGAAAGAAAGAAAGAAAGAAAGAAAGAAAGAACTAATGCATGGAAATACAATGTTATCTGGAAGGGATAATGTGTACCATTCGTTTTACGACCCATGCCTTATAATAATGATTTAGGAAAAGAGGAGCTAAGGTAGAATATAAATGCTGTGGCAGGTGGTGTCTGAGGCTTATTAGCAGCAGTGTCAAAAGAAATAGTTCCTTCCAAGCTACCTGGGCAGCAGTTTTACCTGGGCAAATTACCAAAGTCATTTTTTCAAAACATCTGGGGCTGAAATTAAAAATGTAGCCCTATGTGAAATAAAAAATATACAATAATAAATTATTAACAACATGCAGATCTTTCATATATATATTTTTCTTTTTGGGTGCTGAGTTGGGGTAATGTAAGCCTGTGGATTCTTTATTCCTTATAGAGTTGTTTGCAATGCACAAGTTCTCCACAGACAACCGATTCCCTGTAAAGTGAGGTATTTTGCTAGTGAAGAAACTTTCCTAAAATGACACAAAAAGATGCCAGTATTAGATCAGTGGATCTAAAATCCATAACTAGGTATGTTGGATTGGGTCCTCTATGCCAGTGCAACTTTCAAAACAGTCCACCAAGACTAAGGATGGGGAACCTCTTGTCCTCCAGATTGTGTTGGTCTTTAACTCTCTTCAGTCCTAGACAGCATAGTCAAGGGTCAGAGATGGTGGTAGATGTCTACTCCATGTAAAAATTAGTTGGCTACCATCCAGGGTTCCTCCAGACTGACCCGGTTTTGGGAGTGGAAAATACAAGTTGCACAATTAAAGTGAATTTAGAACTCTTGCCCAATAGACCTGATTCCAAAAAACAAAGGAACAAAAACCACCCTGGACTTTTCTTTTTCTTTTTAATAATAAGGGAAGTAGTGGGGAAATGCACTGGAAAGTATGAGATAACCATTGCTTGCCACAAAGTTGTCATATAGCCCCATTGCAAACAAATCAGGAAGAGTGGTCCATAAACAGCCAATGTGGTATTATATCCTGGCAAACATGGGGCAAGCAAATCAGGACGGATGCTTAATAGACAAGTCGTCCAGGAGAATCCATGTAATCAGTCAGTATTTCATACTCACTGAGCATGCTCAATCCACATTAGAGGATTTAG